CTGCCCCCACCACCCGCCTAACACAAGGGCTTCCCTCCTGAAAGCCCCGTGGCCATAAACAGTTAACGCGATTATTGCATTTAGCCCACATTTGCAGCAGCTTCCTCTCTTTAATCACTTTGAAAATGTTTCAAATTCCTTTCCAACGTGACTGAAATCAAAGTGGCACCTGTGAAGGCAGCAAGCCTGACTGCCGGTGCGAGGTGGAGATGTAAAACAGTCAGGTTTGATGGGGAGAAATTATGTCTTTCTTAATTCCTTTTACCCTGTAATTACCAGGCGCAACCACGTGGGCTCACAGCAAAAAATAACTTGCCACAGGGAGATGTTGTCTTTAGAATCCTGGTCTGAGTCCCCGCGCGAGGCCCTCATGAGAGGCTCCCTTGCAGCCCCCCACCCTGCCCTGGGGTTGGCACAGCGCCCACCTTCCCCACCAGCAATCCAAGGCCACCACGGCCCCCAACAGCCCAGGGTCAATCCAGAGGCGCCCACTCTGCCCTGCCCCTGCCCTCGGCAGCGTTTGGCTTTTTCACACTCTTCCCTGCGCTGACTTCCCGACTGTTCCCTCCCCGGCCTCCACCCCCGGTCTCCCTGGTGGCTCTCTCCCCTCCTCCCTTTGACCCCACGTGCACTGGCCTCCTGGAAGCCCCACCAGCATCTCTCTTGGCCGCTCCCTTGTCTCCTCTGGCTTTCTTCCCTGCCCCCACCCCACCTCTCCTCTCTTCCCGTCCTCATCTCTCCAACCCCATTCTTCCATCGAGCACGAGAGTCTCCAACCCATGGCGCCATCTGTCATCTCTGGACTCCAGAACCCTAGTTTCCGGCAGCTGGCCTGGTGTTTCCCCTGGGACGCCCTGCTGGGTCCCGCCCGCTCCCTCCTGACTCTCAGAGTTAGGACTCCACCAGCCCTCGGCGAGGCGGAAGTCTCCAAAGAGTCCCCAGCCTTGACACCACCCACCCAGAGCCATCACCATGGGGTGCAGGAAACAGAGGGAGCGTTTGAGTCAGAGCCTTCCGGGTTCAGACCCTGGCTGTGAGACTTCAGGTCCTATGACGTTGGTGTACTTCTAAGGGTCTTATTTTTTTAATTGTGTCAAAATATGCATAACATAAATTTTACCACCTTAACCATTTTTAAGTCTACAGCTCAGTGGCAGTAAGTACGTTCACGTTGTGCCACCATCACCACCGTCCATCTCGAAAACTCTTTTCATCTTGGGAAACTGAAACTCTGTCCCATCATTCGGCAACTCCCGCTCCCCTCCCCCAGCCCCTGGTCACCCCCATTCCGTTTCCTCTCTCTGTGAGTTTGGCTACTCTAGAAACCTCACATAAGTGGAATCATGCAGTCTTTTTGTGTCTGGTTTATTTCACGGAGCATAATGTCTTCACGGTTCATCCATGTTGCAACACGTGTCAGAATGTCATTCCTTTTTAAGCCTGAATGCCACATTCTTGTCCCCATCCATTCACACATGGGTTGCGTCCCCCTTTTGGTCTTGTGAACACTGCTGCCATGAACTTGGGTGTGCAAAGCTCTGTTGGAGGCCCTGCTTTGCTCCTTTGGGGGCTACACCCAGAAGTGGAATTGCGTCCCCCGTTCTAATTTGCATCATCACGGTTAAAGGGTTACACATCTTCTCCCTTCACCTCCACCCCAAAGCAGCCGCCCTCACCTGGGGCCAACCCTTCCTGTCTCTCACTTTGGCACGCACCTTTGCCCTGGTCTGTGGGTGACCTCCCTGCGCAGCTGGTAAGCGCTAAGGCAAGTGCTGAGTAAAGTTTTGCTGATTTGCACCTGGTCCAAGGTGTGCGTCCTGCTGCTGGCCATTCTCCCGGGGCCAGAGTCCTCTCTCAGCCTTAAATACAAAAGGAAACCAAGATTTGTACATTTTTCTTAATTACCCTGGACCCTCAATCTCATCCCTCGTGCTTCCAGGTGCAGTTTTCCCCACTTAGCTGGAAATATTCTGTCATTTCGGGCCCCTGGAGGTTTGCCAGGAAATCTCAGCTGCTGATGAAGCACCTTGCAGTGGTAGGGCGGGGCAGCAAGGGCCGGAAAGCAGGTCAGAAGCCTGTGGGCTGACGCTGGCTCAACCCAGGGCGTTAGGATGAGCAGTGCCCTCCCAGAAGAGCTGTGCAGACGGCAGAGATTGGGGTGGCCCCAACCCCCAGGGACTCACAAGATCAAATGTGGCCACAGGCCAGGGAACTGGGAAAGGCGAGGCAGAGTGCGGGGCCCTGAGGTTTCCCTGAGCCCTGGACTCGCTGACATCTCAAGAAAAAAAAATCCATGCCAAGCTGAACCGGGGTCTTTTAGCACAAGAAACTGCTGCCAGACATGGGCTGAAGAGGAAGGAAAAGGTCCCAGCTGCACAGGAAGGGGAAAGAACACCAGGCTGGGAGCAGAGAACACTGGGGAGAATTGTATTTATGGTGGCCCCAGCCGTTCCTCCCTGCTCTGTTGCAAGGTGGCTTCGGGAGGCAGAGTCCCTTTCCCATGCCCTTGCATATAGCCTCGCCTGTGACCCGCAGTGGCCAATAGAACTCAGTCCAAGTGATGCCTGGGTCTTCCGGGCCAGACCTTAAGAGGCCTTGCTGTTTCTGTTTTCACCCTCTTCTTCTGCCCTGAGACCATGGTGTAAGAAAGTGGATCTGGAGAAGACATGTGGAGCTCAGCTGACAGCCAGAACCAACTAGCACAGCAGGCGTGAGTGCCGGCCGTCTTGGACCCGCCAGCCCTGCCGACCTTCCAGCGAACATAGTGAGCCCGGCAACACCAGCAGAGAACAGCCAGCCGAGCCACAAATCATGGGAAATGAAAAGTCCCTTAAAAGTGGTTTTAAGCCACTAAGGTTTGGCAAGAGGTGGTTAATTACAAAGCAGTGGTTAACCAAGGCAGAGTTTATAAACCAGCTCCAACACGAACCCACGGCATGGCCACTTCCGCTCTCTGGGCTTCCGTTCCCTTTGCAATAAAATCAAGGGAGTGAGGGAGCAGAAAGCAACACAAAAATCACAGGTGTAAGGGCTCGTCAGGTAGCATCCCAGCTCTGTTACTTACTAGCTGTGTGACCTTAGACAAGTTGCTTAACCTCTCTGAGCCTGGATTGTCTCATCTCTCCTATGAGAGCACTAATACCTGATTGGGTTCTGTGAGGATTCCTTGAAATAAAGTGCTCGGCATATAGTGGCTGCTTGATAAATAGCAACGTCCGCAGGGAGGCAGGATTGTCCTTAGGCACATGGGTTCTAGAGGCCACATTATCTGGGTTCGAATCCCTGTTGTGCTACTTCCTAGATGCGTGGTCTTAGGCAAGGGCCCTAACGTCTGGCCCTCAGTTTCCTCACCTCTGTAATGGGGAGGATGGTGATGTTAGTACCTAACTCATAAGGTTGTTGTGAACATTTAGGGAGTTCATACCTGCAAAGCACTATGTGCATTTGGCACATAGTAGGTGGCTCAACAGGGATTATGGGCACAGTTTTTTCAGTTTGTAGAACTCACTCCAACATACCGTGCACTCAGCCCTCACCGGGTCAAATACAGAGGTGAGGAGAAGTGCCTGCCTGCCAGGTCACTCCTGCAAGTCCCAGAGCTAACACACGACAGAGGAAGGATTCAAACTCAGGCCCGCAGGACTCCAAGTCCAGATGCGCCAGCATAGTTCAAGCACCGTTCACCATGCGCTGGGCTCTGGAGCTGCAAGAATGAATGGGGCCTTTCCACGTCCTCAAGTCTCCTCCGGAAGGCAGACGCAGGCAAGATCACAGCGCAATACAGGAGGTGCGGAGGGCGGGTGGAGCCATTACCTGTGCAGAGGCGGGTCCCCGGAAGCACAGAGGAGGCTCCCCCTGGGCTGGATCTTAGAGTTTGGGTAGGTTCGGGCCACGTGCACAAGGAAGTGCATGTGAGGCAGAAGGCGCAGCGTGTGCAGGAGCTCGGAGGAGGGACTCGCAGCCCGTGGGCAGCACCAAAGTGGGAAACTGAGTCTGTGCAGGAGGCTGGTGAGAGGATGGGATTTCTCCCCTGCCATAAATGAAATGCCATGCCGGCTCCCTAGCGATGGCCATGAAGCCCCTGCCAAGGCCTCACTCAGACACTTGCTACTTTCTCTCTAACCAGCGCCTGCCGGCAATGCCATGGGCTCCATCCTGCCCTTGCCTGTGGCATCCCAGACCCTGGCACTGATGAAGCCCGAAGGCCACCTACTTCCACCTGCTCCCGGGGCGCTGACTAGTCAGGTGTGAGCTAAATCAATGTGTTGGCAGTTGGACCCCAAATCCCAACATCTTACAGGGATTGAAGGATGCTTGAAGGCCACTTGGTCTGTCGTGGCTCCAGCAGTGGTGGGGGGTGGGGGGTGGGGGTAGAGGTTGGGGGTGGAAGTGGCTCAGACCCAGGTGAGAAGGACCCACGAGTCACCCAAGACACCAGGGCCACCCAGGGACGGGCTCCCACCCGCACTCGCTGGCACTGGGCCCTGGGCCTCGGGGACGAGCTGCCCCAGGACTGCTGAGTGGACTCTTCACCGAAGTGCCGGAATAAATCACGCGTCTCGGCAAGTGTGCAGCCTGTGGGGAGAATGCTCCCTAGCTCTTGAATTCCCATTTCTAATGACCCTCCAGAAATTATTGAGAAAATCTACACACTGTGTTTCGGAGTGCTCTTCAAGACTCGCCGCAGTTCAAACGGTTTCCATAAATCCAGAACGCAAAAGGCATTTTTCAGGGGTTTACTGTTCCCCAAATGACACTAATGCCATATTGACTGACTTCAGGGGAGCTCTGGGAGTTTGGAAAAACCAGTCAAGCAAGCAAGATCTTTAACAGGAAAAAAAAAAGAAAAGAAAAGAAAAGTTGGTGAACTTGACAGTTTTGTTGAAGTTCACAGCATTTTCCTGTTTTGACAGCACTTTTGCAGGTCAGGATGCCTCCGGGTGTTGGATAACACCATCCTCTCCTTCTGAGAGTGCTGGCCGCCACCTCCCCCGCCGGTCCCCACCCACGCCACCATCAGAGCCGTCCTTCCGAAACACGAATTGAACACTGCTGCTCAAAACCCACCGAGCCTTCTGGAGTGTTATTCTTGAAAGAAACCGAGAAGGACCTCCAGCTTCTGCACGATCCCCCACCGCCTCGGCCAGGGAGGAGAAAATTCTGGTTTTAATATGCATGGTCTGAGAATCAAGAGAGATACAGACTTGCGTTCATTCCTTCAGTAAACATTTATTAAGCATCTACTATATACCAGACCCTGAAGATTCAGTAGTGGGAAAGAAAAAAAAAAAACAGACAAAAATCTCTGCCTTCATGAGGCTTACAGTCTAGAGAGACAGACAGACAGATTGGACGAATACGTGAGAGATATCGTACATGAGACAGCGACACATCACACATCAATGAACACGGAGCAGGCAGCAAGCCACATCCCTCCTCTTTAACACCCTGTCTACCCCACCCTGTGGCAGCCCTCGCCGGGGACAGATAGAGTGTCCCACCTGTCGTGGGCTCCAAGGTGCCCTTGTTCGCGAATCTTAGCCCAAGCTGGGGCTGTCCCATCTTCCCTGACGCCTTACTGCCCTCTTCCCCCCAAGGTAAACGCATTCCTTCCCAGAAACGAACTTCTCACCTCTTTCTCTGTTCACAGGCAACCTGCAACTTGGCGTCCTAATCGAGTCCCGCAAAGAGAATGGGGGACAGTGGCAGCAAGGTTCCTGACCGTGTGGAGCCTGCCCCGTGGAGAGTGGGGGGCGTAGGACGGCCCCGGCTGGGACGGAGAGAGGCTGGGCGCACGCCGGCCCCTGGAACATCTCAGGCGGCCACATTGCGGCCCCACGCCGGGCTGCTGGCCCAAGAAGGCCGTCCAGCTGGCCGCTGCGTAGCAGAGCCGACACCCGAGTGCAGGTCTTCCGGGAAGCATTGGAGTGTGGGGCTTGGGAACTTGGGCTTCAGAGGCAGGGGAACCCGAGTCTAAAACGTCACCCCGCCTTTTGCCGGCGGTGTGACCGTGCACGCGTTGTTCAGTTCCAAGCTTCGCCGTTCCCACCCGGAGCACTGGACGCTAATAGTGTCTGGGTCCCGGGGACGCTGTGAGTTGCTCCCATCAACTGCGCCGGGCACGGGGTGGGCACTCAGTAATGTCAGTTCTCGTCACTGTTACGCTGACACCAGGGCCTCCTGCGACACCACGGCGACACAGACCTTCACGCCGGCACCATTTAATCGTTCAGTGCCTGTGTCTTCCTCTGCGTCCCCCTTTGTCGCTTTGTCACTGTCCTGTCTCTCTCTCCCGTGTCAATCTGCATCTCAGTGTGTTTTCTCTTTCGGTCTGTGTGTTAGGGGATCTCTCTGTCTCTGTGTGTGCATGTGTGTGTGTGTGTGTGTGTGTGTGTGTCTTTGCGACGTGTTTCTTCTCTCCATGCATGTGTGGGTATGTCCATCTGTGACTGTCACTCTGTGTGTTGTGTGCGGGTATCTGTTCTCAAATCTCTTTGTCGCTTTAGGTCTGTTTCTGTGTCTTTGCCCGGCTGCCTTTCTCCTTACGTCTCTGTGTGTCCCCGTCCCTCTCTTTCTCTCTCTGCCTCCGTCTCCCGCACTTTCTGTGTGTCTCTGTGTCTGTCTGTCTGTCTCTGGTTCTTCTCCTCAAAACCAGAAGCGACTCAGCAGCCTCTCCCGGCTTGTTACGGGGAAACATTGAACAATCCCTCTTTGCTCACGCGAGGAGCCAACAGCTGGGGCAAACAATGGGAAAACTCAGAATTAATTGGGTGCTGATTATTTGCCAGGAGGAAAAAAAAAATGGTGAGATATATATGAAACAAAAGACAACCTAGCAACAGTGGAAACCTCCGCGTAGCAACAAAAGCAATCCTAATGAAGCGTGACAATGCCAGCGAGAAGGCGACAGCCGGCCACCGCATGCTGCAAGGAAGGAAAACAAATGTTAGTGCCGCCCAGGAGCCGAGCGAGGCCATTCTGGGGCGCTCTGGATCCTCAGAGATCCCAGCCTGTGCCCCACACATGGTCCCCCCATTCACCCAGTCCCCATGAAAACATCCCACAGGTACCGGCCTTGGCGCTCGGGAGGTGAACGTGACCCAGACAGGGTCCCCAGCTCAAAGAGGAGGAGAGAGCAGACAGACAGACAGCCACGACATGCAACAGAGCTGCAGCACCGGCCCTGCAGGGCCAGCGCACGCAGGGCGAGGGCGTCCAGAGGGGGTCACTCGGGGGCTCAGCCTGGAAAGAGAACGCACATGTGTCGGGGGAGGAGGGACAAGCATAGCATGCAGGAGGAACAGCAAGTGTGAAGGCACAGACAGGCGAGGGCACAGTGGGACCAGAGGACATTGGGAAGCCGCCAGGGCTGGTGGCTCCTCAGAAGGATAAATGCAGAGTCCCCATATGACCCGTAGTTCCACTCCTTGGCGGACACCTAAGGAATGGAAAACGGAGACTCAAACAAGTCCTCGTGGGTGAATGCTCATTGCCTGCTCTGTTCCCAGCAGCCCAAGGGTGGAAGCAACACAAGTGTCCAACTACGAACGAATGGAAAAGCACAATGTGGCACATCCACACAATGGAACATGATTCGGCCGTAAAAAGGACCGAGGCACCGATACCTGCTGCAGCATGGACGAGCCCCAAAACATCACGCCAGGTGAAAAGGGCCAGACACAGCAGGTCACCTAGTGTGCACTTCCACTTTTACATGCAATTCCAGAATAGGTAAATCCACACATACAGAGAACATGCTAGTGGTTGCCAGAGGCTGGGGGCAGAGAAGAATGGGGAGGGATGAGATTTCCTTTTGGGGTGGTGAAAATGTCTTGGAACTAGATGGAGGTGATGATTGTACAACCTTGTGAATGCACTAGATGCCACTGAATTCTATGCTTTAAAATGGTATATGGTTAACATCATGTTATGCTATTTTTACTCCAATAAAATGCAATAAAAATAAAAGCGAAGGAACCACAGCTGAGGTTTAGCATATGGGTAGGAGGTGGGGCAGGGCCCAATTGCCAAGGGCTTTAAGTGCTGTTGCCTCTCTGCCTTACCGGGGACAAGGGGCTCCTAGAACATTCACCCGGAGGAGTGACGCCATCTCTCACACGTGCTTCAGGAGCATCTCCTAGGGTTGCAAACAGGAAGGATGATTGGAAGCAGTTCAGTAGAGGCAGCAAGACCCAGCAGGAGGCTGAGGCCAGACGGGAGCGTTTTAAGGGACGGTAGAAGAGGCGGGTGGAGACCAGGCGCATTTGAAGAATGGGCACCGACAATTGCAAAGGAATGTGGGCCTGGACCTGAAAAAGGCCCTCAAGATGTATCAAGAAGGCAAGGTCCCTGCCTCAGGGAGGCCTTGGCTGTCCACCCTGTCTCCCCAAAACCCTGGGTCTGGCTTCCTGGGGAAGGGAGATCGGGGACCCGAGGCCTCGATCTGTAGCCAGGCTGCTCTGGGGAGGGCCGGGAGCAGCAGCAGCCTGAGTCCCATCGTTAGCAGCTAACTCCAGGAGAAGTGTCCCTCTCCGAGATTTCTGCTCCCTCTGGGCCCGGCTCCCAGGTCTGTGTTTTAAAGATTTGTTTTAATTAGATCCGTCTCAGTCAGAGCCATCAAACATTATCTCCGTTTCGGCTACCTCCTTTCCTTTGCTTCTTTCCTATTGACTTTCAGAAACTCTGCCAGCTACATTTGGGCTTTGATTATTTTTTCATAGAAGAAAAAGCGCAGTAAGTTTTCCGAAGCGAGGAGCCTGCGCCTCCGGAGAGTAGAATGGGGGGTGCAGGGTGGGCCCTGGGCTGACTCATCTGGTGTTTTCGGACACCACCCTCTGCCTCCCCCAAAGGGGCCCTAATCCACGCATGTCCCCAGCTCTGGCCAGGACTGGCCCTACTGGCGGTGGCTGGCACACAGCAGGCCAAACTTGATGGCAGGGACTGGAAACCAGCCAGACCTGCCACCCCACACCAGGCAGCTGAAGGGGCACCAGAAAAAGGCACAGGCCGGAGGGGCAGGAGCCTGGGACAGGCTGGCTGTGGCCAGAGGAAGCAGACCACAGCACCAGAGTATGACAGAGGGGATCTCAGGGCTTCGAGCCACCCTGATCATTGGCAAAATAAATCCCATCTACCCACCCACCCACCCACCAGCACACACACCGTCCACCGCCAACACCTTATCATTCCACCTGCCCAGCTGGCCACTTGGTTCTTGTCCCACCGAGTCATTTCCACTCATCCATCCAAATTTCCATTTACTGGGAGCCCACTCTGAGCTGGTGACAGGGCCCTAACCCCGCAGGAGACATTGTTGGGAGATGGAAATACACACAGCCTAGGTCAGGACCATGCGACAAGGGGCTTCCAGGTGCCCCGAGAGCTAAAACATGCACAACATGTGACATCAGAAAAAACATAAAAGACGTGGAGCCTTAGAGGAAGTACAGCCAGATTTCAGACTCCACAGATTTCAGATGCCACAGCCACGGGAGACATGACCCGGCAGAAGATCCCGACGGGAGTCCTCACGCAAGGTCCCACCTGGACCAGCAAAGAGCACCCTGGCCTTGCATCTCAGAACAGGGGACAGAAGCTCTCAAAGCCTTCCTTGCTGGGCCCAGGATTGGTCCTGAAGCCTTCGCAGCTGCTGAGGTGGTGGAGGCTGGAGCCCCAGCTCAGAGGCTGTGGGGCTTCAGGACAGGCAGGACTTAGGACGTGGGACGCCCTCCACCTTAACCGTGGCCAGTGCTGTGGCTTCATCCTCCGGCAGTGTCATGATGCCAGCCAGGGCACAACCCTGGGTTCAGGAGCCACTCGTGCATGGCTTGTGGGGCCTTCTCGCTAACGGTGGGGTATGGCCCGCAGAAAGCTGTGCCCAGTGTTGTGCTTGCCCAGCTTGGGCAGGTCTAGGCTTCCATTTGCTTAAGATTCAAGAAGTCAAACTCTGAGGAGGACCTAAGTAGGCCTTTTCTGATTTAAATCTGTCACTGACTTCAGCTTCCAGAGGGAAAAGTCTTTTTGGAAGTGACGAAAGGCTCAGAAGGACAGTTGCTAAGTGTGCTTCAAGGTAGGTTCAGTGTCACGGCAACCTGGTAGAGGACATCCCAGGGACACCATAGGAAACGGAAGCTTGTATTGGATATGTCACTTGTATTGGATATGTCACTTGTATTGGATATGTCACTTGTATGGGAAAAGTCACGTGTCCGGAGCTATTTAGTCAGTGACCCAGCCAGATTGAGACCTAGGCCTCCTGACTCCAGCCCCACTGTTCTGACCTTTGCATTGTGCCACCTCCTAGGACAGATGTGAGCAGAGAGACAACACAGGACACCAGTTGCGAGAAGGGAGCACAGGAGAGCAGGGCCCGGATGGGACGGAGGCTGAACCTACCCGAGGGGCAAGATGACCCCACTGTCCAACGGGGGTGAAGGCTGGGAGCCAGGTGGTTTGGGGCACCCCCTGCCTCAGGCTTGAACAAGCCACTGGCCTCCATCTGGAAGGTTCTCTGAGTGATGTGCTCAATATACTAATACAGAGATTTATCTATTAGAGGTTTACTAGTAAATCTTCCTACCATCTCAAAAATATCTGAAGCCCCTCCTCTGGCCCCATATTCTCAAAAGCAGGTACAAGGTAGGCATTTAATACTCATCTGTGAATGTCACCCACTGCATGGCCTTTAAAGCCAACGTCCAACTGAGCACTTTGGCAGCTCCACACTTTTCTCTCTTTGCTTAGCAACTGCAGAAAAAAATAGAGCTCCCCTTGTCCAAACAGTTCTGAAGGGACTGGGTCTCACTGAGCCTGCTTGGATGACCTGCCCATTTCTAACTGAGCCTTTGCGGCTGTCGGGGAGCCGCACGCTAGGATTGGCAAGGCCGCTCTCTCTCCAAGACCATCTCTGAAAGCGGGAGCAGATGTCTCCCCAGCTACTGTACCAGGGACACAAAGTAAGGAGCTGTGGGCAGAAGAAAGGGGAGAGGACGGGGGACATGGGCTGCAGGGTCCCGACCAAGCACCAGGAGCCTGGCAGGGCTTAAGCCTCTGCCATCCTGAAGTCCCATGAGCTGTTCCTCCATGACATCCACCATTCCCATAAGTGAGATCAGGTGTAGCTACAGGGTCACTCAGAACCAAGAGGGACAAGGTAGAGAGAAAAGAGATCCCAGACCCCTGGTGCCTCCTCTCTGAACAAAGCCTGAGGACCCTCACAAGCCACCAAGCTCACTCCCTGCCAGCCAAAGGGTTGACCGCTGCCACCCCATTGCTGATGGTCCAGGAGAGACAGTCCTCCCCTTCCCAAAGAGAAGGGGTTGCTGCAATTCGGGAAGTCTCAGCAAAGCAGTAGGAAAATGTCACAGTGGAATAAATTATGGAGATTAAAAGGATGCCTAGATCTTTGGAAGTTGGACCTGCATGGCAGCCTCTCGGTGTTCTCTTTAATCATCAGTCTCTAATTCTGGGACATGAAATTACAAGCTCATTGATGATGATCAGTGACTTACCAGAGAAAGCCCAGCCCTAATTAAGAGCAGAAGCTGACACTGCTTTTCAACTTCCACCAAAGTCCAGCGAGGAAATTACCTGGTTCTGCCGAGCAAATAACACCAGCAGGCTGGCAGGGGACCTGGGTTACCTGATGAACAAGCGCTTGGCCAAATTAATATGCAGAGAGAGTCGTTTCGAGTGCTAGCAATTTGCTGGTAATTGGGGCATTGATGGACGCGGGGAAAGCGGCCGAGCTGGTGCATAAACAGCGGCGCTGTGTGCTCTTAGCCTGAGAGAAATGTGAAGACAAGAGCGTGGACAGCTCTCCCAGTGGCTGCCTGGGCAGGGGGGTTAAGGGTCAGCTTGTGCAAGAGTCTCAGTCTTGATGAGCCAAAGGTCAGAGCTCAGAGTGTGATCAGGGTTATAGATCATTGTGTGGCCCGTGAGGGGTGAGTCTACGTTCAGGATTGGGAACAGAGCTGTTCTGTGCCTGGGAGGAACCCAGGCTCAGTGTCTTTCTCTCATCTCATCTCCTGGACCTCCCGACCTTTCTTCTCATGCTCTGCAGTGGAGTCTCGTCTATGTTTCTCATCTCTTGCTGCAACTTCTTTCCTCTAATGCCAAACATAAGGGGAGTTTGACATTGACCTCCCAGTCTTTGGCTATAAGGGACCTCTTAAGGCACTTTGAGGTACAGGCTAGAGCTGGGGCCTCCCCAGGGCTTGTTGTGACTCTCTTTGGAGTCACTACCAGGCAATGGCAGGAGGACGGGTTGTGTGTACCCCAATGGGGATGTCCCCTCCCCTGGCCCTGTAGCCCTCAGCATAGGCTCCCAACAGAACTCCTGGTTCCCAGTGCTCCTTGTCAAGGCCCTGATAAGGTCAGCAGAGCAGCCATTTGTTCATGTCAGTGGTTCAGCTCAGCCTACACGATGGACTCTTCCAATGCCATCCCCATGGTGGCCTTCTCAGGATAGCTCCAGGGATTCTAAAAACAGACAAGATTCTAGTGAAGGAGTTGATGCTTCACTCAGCACTGTCAACCCACATTTTCTGGTGAGTCTGCCTTGGGGTGGCCACCCTGGAAGTGAGCAGGGTACCACTTGCATCTTGCACTTCAGTGGGATAACCAATGATCCTGGTTTGCCTGGGACTAGGAGGTTTCCTGAGACGTGGGACTTTCAATGCTAAAACTAGGAGAGTCCCAGGGAAATCAGGATGGTTGGACACTCTAGATTCCCAGGAACATTGGCCCATCCGATGGTCCCTGGGAATCAGGCAGGGCTATCCTGAGCCTCCTAACCCTGAGCTGCAGACGGAGAAGATGGAGAGATTAGCCAGGCAGAATGTCAGACTTGGGGGGGGGGGGAGGACAGAGGGGCAAGAATCAAGAGTTTCTAAATCATCAGGTAGGCTTGGAGGTGGATCTTATATCCAGACCTAGGTATTCTATAGGGGTCTTTCCGGCTTGACCGTCATTTGAAAATACGATTGATCTTAGCAATACCAACTCAGCAATAATTCTGATAGCTTGGCCCCTTTACTGGAAACTGGTATTCTCTTCTGCAGTGGTTAATGTTAGGTGTCAACTTGACTGGATTAGGGATATCTATGTAGCAAGTAAAGCATTATTTCTGGTGCATCTGTGAGGGTGTTTCCAGAGGAGGTTGGTCTATGAATCCGTGAACTGGGTGGTGAAGATCCTCAATCGACTAGGGACCCGGATAGAAGATCAAGGTAGAGGAAAAGTGAATTTGCTTTCTCTTCTGGGGCTGGAACACCCACACTCTCCTGCCCTTGCACATCTGTGCTCCAGGTTCCCCGGCCTTTCAGCTCTGGGACTTGCACCAGCACCCGCCCCCCTGCCCTCCCCCACCCCCCCCATCCTCAGGCCTTCAGCCTCAGCCTGAGAGTTAGTTATACCATCAGCTTCTCTTATTCGACACCTTCAGACTTGGACTCAGACCTGCTACCGGTTTCCTTGGTCCTCCGGCTTGCAGACGGCCTGCCTATCATGTGACTTCTCAGCTTCCATTATCACATGATACATCCTGTTGGTTCTGTCTCTCCAGAGAAGCATGACTAAGGCATCTTCCTAATAAAAACAGCAAACAACAACGTTATTATTTTTAACAGCAGTTA